GGGGGGGGGACCCCCCCCCCCAGGTCCCTGCACAATGAGGCCCCCCCGGGGGGCCCCCCCCCCCCCCCCCCCGAGGGGCAGGTGGACGGCAGCCCGCGCGACGGCATCAGCTTGGATGGCAAGCTGTCTCTGACCGTGGTGCGGGCCTCGCCAACGGGGGCTGTGCGGCCCTCGCCGCGCGGGAGCCCGCCTCTCCAGCAGCTCGCTCCGCCGCGCCCTCGCCGCCGCCGCAGCAGCGCGGGAGGGCCGTCGAGCGTCGTGCTGGTCCAGCGGCAGGACGGGGGGGCTGGCGCCGGTCCGCTAGCTTGGTCGATCCTCCTCTGCTGTTTGATCGACAGGTGCGGCAGCAGGACGGGAGCTGGGCCCCGTCGCAAGAGTCGACCTCAAGCAAGGGCGAGATGTAGCCGAGATGTGGCCGAGCTGTGGCCGAGGTGTAGCCGAGCTGTGGCCGAGGTGTAGCCGAGATGTTGCCGAGGTGTGGCCGAGGTGTGGCCGAGGTGTAGTCGCGAGGTGTAGGAGAAGGTGTAGCCGAGATACACCCTATGACCGCGCCTTGCGGCCTCGCCTTCGACCCACCTCCCAACTTGGTGCTAACCAGCCGTCGCAGGCAAGGGGGCCGCCTCCGCCGCCACGCCGCCGCCGCTCCGCACCTTCTCCTTCGACGAGCCCGGCCCGACCGGGCTGACGCTGGCAGAGCGCACCCCAGGCGGGGTCGTCGTCGTCGCGGCTGCCGAGGGCGAGAGCGGCGCTCCATGCGGGGTGAGATCTGCCGCCGGAGCCTTCCCAGGTAGCCGTGCCTGGCGCCGACCCCTTGCTAGGCGCGGCGCTCGAGCTGGGCGTGCTGCCGCTCTCTGTGGTCCACAAGATCCACGACGTGGAGGTCGAACCGCCGAGACTCGTCACCCGAGTCGCGCCCTCCCTTTTTTACCGTGTGTTATATCTTTGCAGCTTGTTCAGCTAATCGATTACCATTAAGCAGACTTCTTCCCACACGGGAAGGAAAACCTATTTGCTTAAACTTAAGCAAATTTACCCGTATAAATGTTATGCAAGCAATTTTGTTAGAGATTGTTATTGCAATGATTGGACAAATTTGGAATCTTTCCCCGACATTACTCAAGAATGGTCTTTTTGGAACTTTTGTTGCAAATGCCTGCTTAGTAGGTCTTGTAGGATTAATTGTCTATTCGTCGTTTATTATTGCTCTTGGTCGTTATCCAAGATTACCCGTAATAAGTGGCGCCGCTCGCGTACAACTACAAGGAGGATGGCTTAATTAATTATAATAAGTTAATCGAGATTAAGAGTAATTTAATCAGTAATAGAAAACTTATCTTATAATTAGTCCTTATAGAATAAAAGTTTGCCGATTAATATATTCAATCACTCGCTATAACGCGAAATAGTATGAGAGATTAATATTAGGTTGAATTTATAAATTTGTTTTTACATAATGTTCACATTAAAAATCCTAGTTTATACCGTTGTAATTTTCTTTGTATCGCTTTTCACATTTGGATTTTTATCAAACGATCCATCTAAAAACCCGAACCGTAAAGATTTTAAATAATTAGTTTAAGTTTCGCCCAAAGGCTTATTAGTCTTTGGCCGGAAATTTTTTTTGATTAACATACTAATGCTTATTGCGACTTTAAAACCTTTAAAAAGATAACTTCTACAAAGCCTCCTTATTTTTTTAATTAAACCCAGGTTTTTTTTTTT